ACATATTTTCCGACATACGTTTCCAAGGGTTAATTAGATCTATTAAATCTTGCACGTGATCGCACATCGTTTTATTTGTATCACGAGTCATGATTCATGACACAGTAAAATATATACGTACATATAATAGATGTATATTGTATGTATATATATCTATATATATCGATTTATTTATTTATAGTTTCTATTTTCTTTTAATACTTGATTTAGATTTCAATCATTCTTTCCTGCAAAGAACACAATGACAATAACAATGATGATGACAACGATGACAACGATGACAACAACGATGCGGGCAATGATGGACGTGAATGGTTTAATTATTTCATTATCTATATCTATTGTTATTATTATTTCAAGTTTTTTCTTTCTTTGAAATAAATTTATAAACTATTGGTGTTGGTTACACTTTAATTTAACATAATCGTACATTAAATTAATTTTAAAATTAAAATTAAAATAAAATAAATAATAAATAATATTGCAGATATTTTTAGTAAATACAATGACAGATTTACCAAAATCTTAAACTTATATAAATCTAAATATTACCAAATGATATCAATAATACGTATCATAGTCACTAAACAAGTCAAACGTCGTTTAACAAAACGTAAACACAGTCCAACAAGCATAAACACAATCTAACGCCGCTCGCCTCTTTTTTAATAATAAATTTCCCGTACCACACGTGATAACCAATTCCAAAATTTAGTATCGTAGTTCTTTTCTAAAATTTGAGAAACTACCTTAACTACCTTAATAATAATATTTTCTTTTTCACAATTCATTTCTTTTTTTGTAGTTTATTCTTAATATTCATTTTCTTTTCTCACTTTAAGAACTTTTTTTTTCCATTAAACAAATTAGTAGTCAAAGGAAAAAAAAAAAAAGTCTTACAAAATTAACGATATTTTTCACATGTTGCTTATTCCCCTCCCCCCCGCTTCATTATTATTATAATAATTATTACTATTATTTTATAATTTTATTGTTATCAGTTATTATTTAAATAATTAAAAATAATATAAATTCAAATATTCCCTTTTTTGAAAGAACTTGATTTTTTTTTTTTTTTTTTTTTTAAAGTAAAAAGTTTCAAACCTGCCTTTCAAAAAAAATTTTAATTTTTGGGGGCGGGACCCCATATCCGCTCCTCTTCCCACGTATTATCCACCACCACCACCAACAACAACAACAAAATCATTATCATCAAACCATGAGAAGAAACGTGACTATGAACAAGATAGTTGGCAATATCAAGTAGCAGAAAATTTACTGAGTATTAGTAGAAGTAATAGTTTTTCTGTAAAGTTTTCTACTCTAACTATTAATAATGATGATGACCAAAATGAAAATTTGAATAGAAATGTTGTTTTTAATAATAAAGAGAATAATAAAGATAATAATAAAGACCCAAAAAAAGATGATGATAATCAACTATCATTACCTCCACCATCACCATCGCCACCACCAATGCCTTCAATACTTAAATCTCCTTTATTAAAAATAGAAGATTTTAGAACTCAAAGTCGAGCTACTCAAAATACAACACGTACAGTACGTACAACATCTACCACCACTACACAAAATACTACAATGACACCTATAACACCAATTGATTTAGAAGATCCTCATCAAGATTATATAATTCCCATAAATACTTACACCATTATCACTGAAAGTACCACCTCATTGAATAACAGAAAGATTGCAGATTTGATTTCAGATTCTGATGATAAAAGACAATCTCGTGGTTCATCAGGATCAGGTTCAGGTTCAGGTTCATTACCATCTTGGGCTTATGCTTATTATAGAGCAGGATCAGAAACCAACCTTACTAATAATAACAATAACAACAACAATAACAATAATTATAATTATAATAACAATAATAATAATAATAATAATAATAGATATTCAGATGATGATCCAGATATAATATTACCTGAAGCATCAACTTCTGCAGCTGCAGGTGGTTCAGGTAATAATAATAATAATAACAGTAATAATAATAGTAATAGATCATCATCTACTGGTCAACTAGACAAGAACAAGAGAAGGAAGAATGATGATGATAATAATAATAATAATAATAATAAAAATAAAAAAGGTAAAGGTAGAATGTCTATTCAATCTAGATTGGATAATTCAAATTGGCGAATAACAAGAGAGAATCGTCGATTAAACATGCCACCAATAATTAATAATAATAAATATAAAAATTGGAGAAGGAGTATTTCATCTGAATTATCATTTGTAATATGTCCTTACGGTTCAACATTATTTATATTAGGATTTTTATTTCCACCATTTTGGTGGTTCGGATCATTTTATCCTAGAGATCCTAAATATGAAACAGATTTCAAATGGAAAAGATATAATCGATTGATGTCGATATTTTCTTTATTCTTCATCACATTAATAATTGGAATAATTATTTGGTATTTAAAATCTGATATGAAAGCTGTTTACCAATAAACAAGTCAAGTCAAGAAGAAGTAGACAGATGAATAGATAATTTGGAATAGATAATTGGGAACAGAAAAAAAAAATATTTATTCATGTATATTATTATTTATATATTATTTATAATCATTTATATTATTTATATTGTTATTATTATTTTATATTGTACTTTTATTTAATAGTTAACCAATACCAAGGCCAGGTATAGATTCAATAATAATAATAATATGTATGCAAAGATTACGTAAGGCTCTTATTATAGTTTAGCTTGGTTTGAAAGAAAAAAAAATTTTGTAATTAATCAATTTTATCCTTTGTATTATATTATCATGAGTTTTATTGTAAAAAATAGAAAAATATTTATTTATTTATTTATTTATTTATTGTTTAATAAAAACTGATAAACAAAATCCAATAATTTTAAAATAATTCAAGTAAATAATTTATAGCGTAACATACATACTCAGAATTTTAATCTAATAAATACTGAAAAAGGATTAAACTTGAAATATATAAATAAATCCATCAGATATTATCAGATATTATCAGATATTGATATATGCAAAGAGATATATATAAAGATATATGTAGATATAAATATAATGATATTCAAAGAGAGAGAGAGATATATATATATATGTGAAAAGATATAAATAGACACGAAAAGAAAAGATATGAAAAAGATATACAAAGGCTTATAAGAAAATTTATGTATAATTCTACACTGTAATCAACATCACATTAATTACATTTTAAATTCTTCGTTCATATTAATCACATGAGACCTAAAATAGAATAGAATCAGAAAAATCATTATTATTAGAATAGATTAAAATAACGCGTATAAAATTAAAATAATAATAATAATATAATAATATATTTACGAGCTTAGTTGAGGTCGCTGCGAATATTTTTCACGTAATATAGCACGAAGACGATTCAATAATTCTTTGTAAGTCTGATTTTTACCCCCTTCTTGCAATCTATATATAATAATAATAATATTATTATTATTATCATTATTAGCGTGTGATGTATGCAAAACGTTTAAAAATAATAATGTAAAGTTAACTTACGCTTTAATAAAAGCATGTGACATAGCACCAGTGGAAACTCCATTGGTAGTCACGTCAGATGAAGTTTGATCATCTTTACACCTTTTTTAGATGGATAATTCGCATTAAATTAAATTATAAACAATAATATAATAATATATTTAATATAATTAATGAATAATTTTTTTTAGAATAACAATAATAATAAAAATTCATTCTTCTTTCTTACCCGCTGAACATAATAATTTCAGCTGGACTAGATTTTGTCTCCAAATTCTTTCTTCTAATTCTTTCACCTAAATAATAAATTAAATATATAAATATAATAATAATGATGATGATTATGATGATGAGATATCTGTCTCACCAGCTGCAGTATTTTTCTTCTTTCCACCTTCAACAATTTTTGGTTTTTTTACGTGTCCTTGAGTAGAATAAATATAAGGTAGATCAAGTACAGTTCCCGAATGACAAGAATCAAAAATTGCTGTAAGTGCCACTCCGGCAGGAAGAGGATCTACCATCATGTGATGCATTTCCTTAATTAATTAATAAAATTAATAATTAATATTAATAATTAATTAATAATATAAAAGTAATAATATAATCTATTTTACTACATCATCAACAATTTGTCCATTAGTTTGAAAATCTAATGGCATAATGGTTTCATCGTATCCATCATCTTCATCATTATCTGGATCCATTTGTTGTCCACCATGTCCACTGTAATGGAAAAATAATCTAAAGAAAAAAATATTAAAAATATATATATATATATATATATATTATTATTATTATTTTTAATTAATATTTTATTTTATTTTATTTTATTTTATTTTATTTTATTTTATTTATTAACTACTTACGAATCACCTTTTTCAACATTTTTCACAAAATTTTTCATCTCTCTAATGATATTTGCTCTAGTAGGAATTTTATCAGGATCAGTTAAATTATCGGTTAATATTGTCATATTCGATTCAGGAAATCCCCAATTTTCAATTAAATATTTTTTGATATTTTGAACATCGTTAACACAACCTAATAATTTATATTTTAATAATAACAAATAATAACATTTATAGTGATAACATTATAATTAGCAATTATTATTATAATATTATTATTATAATATTATTATTATAATATTATTAATAGAATTATATTATTAATAGATATTATTAATAGAATTATATTATTAATAGATATTATTATAATTATTAAATTAGAGATATATAATAATTATATTGTTTTTTAATTTACCGTTTAATCGATATGGATCTTTATAATTAATTCCTATCATGAGAGCTTTCTTATGATTATTATAAGGGCAAGGTTCATATTTAACTTCTTGAGTAGGTTTCGCGTATAAAGTATACTCTTCAGGTAATTCCTCTGGTTGTTCAGGTAATTCTTCATATGTAACGTGATGCGTAGAATCAATATTATCATTGAAATGATTATCAAAATTTGTATTCCAAAATTGTTTTCTAAAATCATCATTATCAAAAAATGTTGTTTCTACTTCTTTTTTAAATTTTTCCAAATCAGAGAATGGATCATTTGAATTAGAAGTGTAAGTGGTAGTGGTGGTATAAACTTTATTATTATTATTATTATCATTATTATTATTACTATTATAAGTAGTGGTGGTAATGGTATTTTTAGATGGGTTAAATTTATTAAAAATATCATCATCAATTGAACCAGTAAAAGTTTTTACTTCGGGAGGATTTCCATTACTACTAGTGGAAATTTTATAAGTTGTGGTACCCGATGTTTTCATCTGATTAAATTTTTTTAAAAAATCATCATCTACAAAATCACCACCATCATTAAAAAGTGATCTTTTGTTATCAGTATCTCCGGAATAACTAACAGTTTTAGTAGTGGTAGTAGTGGTAGTAGTAACATTTTTACCATCCTTATTTATTTTCTTTTCAGTTTTAGTTTCAGAATGTGAAGCCATTATTATTTTTAGTGTGTTATTAATTATAATAATAATAATAAAACAATAATAATGATTATGAATATGAATAATGATTATGAATATGAATAATGATTATGAATAAATAATGATTATGATTAAATTATAGTTCAAAAAAAAAAACCTTAATTTATTTTTTTAAACTTTTTTTTTAAAAAAAAAATAAAATGAATTCACGAAAATTATTGTGAATTTTTAAATTCTTTTAAATTCACGGATAAGATATATGATCTACTATTTACCTGACCCGTTTTTGTATTTTATATTACGGGAACTTATTAATTAGTTCGTAATATTCGTAATATTCGCAATTAGTTTTATTTGATGGCGCAAAAAAAAAAAAAAAAAAAAAAAAATAATAAAAACCAGTTTAACAAAAAACAAAATACTAAATTAAGAAATTTTAAACCATTTTTGAACTAAATAATGAAAAAAGGATAAAGTAGATAAAGTAGGAGGACAACATCAATCTTAAGCTAAAAAAGTTAAATTTCAGAGGGTTAATGTGTCAGCGGTTCTCCACACAACATTCAAACATAACACTAACATAACACCAACACCAACATCAACCTATAAACACTAAACATAAATATAACACTAAAAAATAATATTAACAAAAACAACACAAAAGTATGCCAACATGCCAAAATTTCAAGCAATATTGATGTTGTTGAGACATGAATGAAACTTTTTTTATGAAAAATTAAAAATGATTGTCTAAACATGTTCATATTATCGTAACAATGTTGTTTGTTACTCGAGAAAATATTTTGGGCGACAACACAACACAACGAGATTAAAAATTATCACTGAGAATAAAGACCAAAAAAAAAAAAAAAAGATTTTGACCAAGAAAGAGGAAGAACGAATAAAAAACTTACACCAATAAAAAAATTTTTTTTTAAATCTAAAATTGGATTTGTTGTCATTGTTGTTTGATTGCGTGTAATAAAAAAGAAAAAAAAAATCTAAAAAATCTTAAAATCAGTAAAAATCCGGATTTAGAAATTTCTAACAGATAATGCCAAGAAAACATTATATTGTAATCAAATAAAGAAAAAAAAAATTAAGGGTTAAATGAATCTTGTGTTTAATGGATAATGAATATAATGGACTATTATTGCATGGTGTACTAACTAACTAACTAATTAGGTGTTTCAAAATTAATAAATTGGAATTGGGAATGTAATAAGGAAAAAATACGGATATTTGGAAAATATATGTAACAAGGATTAATAATAATATGAATAACAAAGGAATAATAATATAAGCATAATAAATATAATAAGGGTAATAAGTTTAATAGAGTGTAATAAGGATAATAAGGAAAATAAGGATAATATGAATAATTCATTGTAGGAATAATAACAAAGTTTATAGTGACAGTCGGTCAGTCAGTTGATTAAAATTTTTTATTTTTTCTATTTTTCGAATATGCGTAAATTAAATCATGTGAAAAAGAAAGAAAAACTTTATATTATTTTTTATTACTATTTTTATTATTATTATTATTATCTTTATTATTATTATTATTCGCACGGACACCAAAAGTTACACTAATAATAATAAAGATAAAATTTGGAAAAATTTATTTCTCTAAGTGAATATCGAACGAATATCACTTTTCAATTCACGATGCAATGTTACGAATGTTATCATCTCAAAACTTTAAAAAACTTTAAGCTCGTGATAAAGTTGACATCTTTCAATTGATACATGATAACAATAATAACAATAACATTTCACAATATCAATACACACGCACACAAAAATGAAACTACAAATGGAGTTTTCAATACTGAATTAATGATGATAAACTTTTATGTGAACAAAAAACGAATTATAAAATCCAAAATTCATCAACCTATAATAGTTCTCGTGGTAAACGTTCATTTGTTATTATTATTATTATTATTATTATTATTATTATAGTCACTACTACATTTGATTTTGTTTTTATTACACACAAATTATTAATTTATTCTATTATTTATTCTATTATTTATTCTATCATTCTATTATATTTTATTACATTACATATTATTATTATTTTAATAATTTTTGTTGTTGGTTTTTTACCGGTTTTAAAAAGAAAAAACATTAACATTGTACCATTTTGTCAACAAAAACATTTGACATTGCACCATTTTTTCAACAATCAATCAATCAATCCATTATAACCAAGCCAAGTAATAAAATGATTAAAATGATTTTACAAAAAAATTTCTTTGATTTCCTTCAATAAATAAAAAAAAATAAAAAAATAAAAAAATAATAATAAAAATAATAATAAATTTAATTATAATAACTCTCTTTATTATGGGAAGATAATTTTGATCTCGGAATTTCAATACAATTATTTTTTAAAGATTTAATAAAAGATATATAACTAATGTAACTAATAATATCATTGGATTAGATTATTTGGGTAAAAATCTAAAAGTAGAAATATTTATCATATGAATCATTTTAATGTTATATATTTTTTTATAGAAACAATTTCATATTTTTTTTTTTTCCCGCGATACAACAATAACAACAATAACAAAAACAACAACACAAAAACACCAACATTTTAACATTCAATCACACATTTTTATACAACAACATTTCATACAACATTTCATACAACAATACAAGAATTTACTTTTTAAGACAAGAGAGGTTTTCGGATAAAGAAGAAAGAGAAATTTGAATGGACCAATTAAATAAAAAAGATATAAAAGCTTCTTTTTATGTTGAACAAACAAACAAACAAGAAATGAAACTTGTCTTTTTATCATTTTATAAATTTCTTTTTAACCCCTGCGTCCGATTGTGAAATCAATGCACATACTTTTTTTTTTACCAATATACACTAAATATACATTTTTTTTTTTTTTTTTAAAAAAAAAAAATGTATTCATCATACGTTTACTTTCTTACTTACCACTTTAGTACTGTCTCTGCTTATAAATGAATTTATCATTATTAGAACTTTCTGAATACTTGTTTATTCATTGTATATATATAAAAACAATACGTTTTATGTGTTACGAAAATTGTAAAACGCCCAACCAGGCTTTTCTCTAATATTTATAGAGTATCCCGTTTTCGGAAGATGATTATTGATGAAATGAAGAACATGCGGAAATGAAATTTTTTTTATTAAAAAATTATTATATTAAAAATTCGTTATTTAAGCATATTTTTAAACATATTATTATTAAATATTATTATTAATAATCCTAAATCTTTTTTTTTTTTTAAAAAAACCAAATAGATCTATCCAAGAATATCATTTTTTTTATTTATTTTAAATCTTTTTTTTTGGGGGGGGGGACAATCATTGATCAAATTCTATTTAAAGATATAAAAATCCCGTGAAAATTTTTGCGATTGACTCCAAATTTATTCACCAATCTTATCCATAAAGGAATTTTACTTAGTTCAGCCACATATACCTCATTGTGGACAAGAATGGAATTACAATTCATTGATTGGCTTCCAATTTTTATCCTTTTCCATACCAAATTTAGTATAAAATTTTAAAATAATGTTAATAAGAAATCAAAAAAATAAAAATAAATAAATATTGTTCCACTAATTTCTTCTCTTAACCGATCGATTTTCTGGTTCCAAATCCTGATTATTAGATGTTTGTTGGTGTATATTCTTTCCTGATAAAGAATACAGTTGGCGGAATTTCCAAAATTGGTACACAAGCTAATCTATTTTCTTTTTACCGAATGAAGGACTCTCTTTTTCCTTTCTTTAACATTTTGACCTTGACTAATGGGGTTTTGTTGTTGTCATTGAAGCCATGCCAAGCACAAGATTACTCACTTCATTTATTCAATCTACAGAATGATTTGCATAAAAAGATTCATTAAAGATTTGTTTTTGATACATATATATATATATATATCTATCTATCTACTTTTATCTTATTTTATCTTATCACAGGATAATTTAAAACGCATAAATTTAATGCATGTAAATACGTAAAAATTTTATTTGATCATTATTTATTATTATTTATTATTATTACCTTTTGATTATTCTTATCCAATCAATTTTTTATTGATTATCACCACTTTTTTCACATTAAATATTATCATATCACTAAACCTTATAACTTTTTATTTCTCGTTTTATATATATAAATGTTATTCATTCATTTATACTCGTTTTATATTCCATTTTATATTCATTTTATATTTCATTTTTTATTCCATTTTATGTTTATTTTATATTCGTTCTATATTTGTAATGAATCATCATTTAAGATTGTGAGAGAAATAAGAAATAAAATTATTCATCATCATTATTCATTATTATTATAGAGAAATAAGTAAAATTTTCAAATAAGGTAAACACTGAATAAAAAAGGTAACCCATAAATACCATAAATTACTATTCATATATCATATTTTTAATATTCTTAATATGTTTTTTTAAAATTGATTGTGTCGTTATTTTGGTTTCATTTTGTTATCAGTTATTATTGTTTGGTGCTAGATAATTATTATAAAAATTGATGTTGTTGTTTCAATATTTTTCTTGTGGACAATATTATTATAATGTTATTTATATTTTTATTTGATAATGTTATTTTTTTTTTATTTGATAATATTATTTTTTTATTTGATAAGATTATTTTTTTTATTTGATAATATTATTTTTTTCTTTATTTTCATAATAATAATAATAATAATAAAAAAAGGTTTAAAAAAAGTAATTAATTGCATAAAAATTTTTTTTTGTTTAATCACAGACTAACAAAAATAATTAAATCTAATGGCCGAATTTCCGATGATGATTTTTTTTTTTTTCTTAAATCTTAGAGTTACCATTTTAGTGAATGAATGGTTGCTATATGTGATTTCCATTTATGTTGTGAAATCTTTTTTTTAGATACACTGTTCAAACAAGAAGAAAATAGTGTGATTTTGACCTTTTTTAAGGTTTTGCTTTTTGACGAAAAAATATTTTGCAATCCATTGTTTTCCTTTATTTACATATTCGACTTTTTTTATTTTATTTTTATAAATCTTTTTAATTTACTTGGAATTTCTTTTTGTTTTTATAAATATCCATAAGAGTACAACAATTTAATAAGGAAGTCACTGCCTCCCTGGAAATATTATTATTACTGATATTACTGATAAGCCTATTTTATGCTACACGTATGATAATTAAAAAAAAAAATTTTTTTTTTTATTTATATATTCTTGCTATTTATTCTTGTTATTTATCTAGTTATATAATTTACTTTAAATATTAACAAAGACTATAAAATTTCCTCCTTTTGATCATTTTTTTACCATTACCATTTTGAGCTAAGAATGCATTTCGAACAACATATAAAGTCGACTCTATCACTATCACCACCACTACTCTATCCAACATTTTTTGCGGCGCCCATTTTTTCCAACCGCACAAACAAAAAAAAATTTTTTTAAAATAAATAAATAATAAAAATACTTTACAACTACTACCATTATAATAAATCTCATTATAAATACAAAATTATAATTATAATAGTAATCAATAATAAAAAGGATATAAAAAGATTTATTTACAAATTTATCTCTGTTTTACTTTTTTAAAAAATTTTTCTTCTCATCCTTCTTCCTATCCTCTTATTTTCATTTTTTTTTCTTTTACGAAAAAAAAAAAAAAAAAAAAAAAAAAAAAAACGAACGACTTCAAAAAAAAAAAAAATAAATAAAAAATGTCTTTTTATTTTTTTTAAACAAAACAAAACCGTACATTGGTACCTTATCCGCCACCAGAATTTAGCCAACAAATTGACCGAATGTCACCAGCAGAAATTGTTGACCATATTATTCAAACCAATATTGACCCAATAACTTTGACCAAGATTGAAAAACAAATTGCAGTACCCCTTCGTCAACTTATTTCTCCTCGAGAAAATCGTCGTCGTCGGTGTATTCCTCGACCTCAAAATAATTTTGTTTTATATAGAAGAAATTTTCATGCGGTTATTACGAAAGAAAGAGGTCATTCCGTGGCAAAAAATTTTAAACTTATTTCAAATGAGGCAGCCAAAAATTGGTCAGAAGAGAGTAATGAAGTTAAACAACTTTATGAATTAATAGCTGATTGTGCAAAGAAAGTTCATGATTGTACATACCCACAATATGTTTATCAACCAAAACATAAATCTTCGAAAAAAGGAAATAATACAATATTTCGAGAAGTTACTATGGATACTTGTAAGCAAAGAACCGAAAGAACTAAATCTGATCGTAATTCTTCAAAAAATGATAAATCTACAACTTCTTCCACTTCAACATCATATTCAAAATCATCTACTACACCTAATATTAAATCTTTGACGGCATCAATGACTTCTACTATGACAACTTTATCATTAGATTCAACACTATCTCCATCAAGACCACCAGTAACATCATCATCATCATCATCATCATCATCCTTAAAATCACCTCAATCTTCTTCCTCTCCTCCTCTTCCAGCACCTCCAACTTCTTCTTCTACTTCTACTATTACCACCGAACATCCACTTATTAAAGAAGAACCAATGTTACAACCGCCATTACCACTTCAACAACTACAACCATTACAACGACGAATGATGTTAAATCAACAACAGCAACAACAACAACAATCACAACAATTATCACAACAACCATTATCAATTAAAGAATGGCGCTGGTCGCATTATAGCCAGTCAGATTCGTCGAGACCTCCTTTAGTAGATTCTTATCAACAATCTTCATCTTCATCATCTTCACCATCTTCATCTCCTTCTTCTCAATCATCAAATCCAATGCAAGGAATTGTTGAACTTTCTTCTTCTATAGGTCAACCAATGTCAACATCAAGATTACTTCCACCAATTGATATGCCCATTTCTCAGAATTTAATGGCGGGTTATGATAAAAATGTTTGGAATTTGGTTAATGGTTTCACTTATTTGTAAATAATAATATAGCATGTATATTTTTCATTTTTATATAATAGATTAAGAATCATGGGGTTTACCTCTATTATATATATTTGATTTTTTATATATATATATTTCTCTTCCCCCGATTTTCCATTTTTCCATTTCTTTCTTCTACTTCTACTTCTACTACTACTACTACTACTACTACTACTTATTATTATTATTATTTTTATTATTTTTATTATTCTTTTTTCTTCTTCATTATTCATTTTGTTTGAAAGCAAAAAAAAAAAAAAAATTTTATGATCATGTTGCATTTTTTATTATAGCATTTTTTTTTTGTTCACGATCATATAATTCTATAATTATTTTTATTCTTATTTCAAAAAAGATTCTTGTAAAGATTGCATTAAGTGTTACATTTTTTTTTTGTTGTTAAAAAAGTGTGTATGAATATATCAACAGTATATAATAATATATATATGTGTCAGTATTATTTCGTCAACAATGTATTTCATTTGGGAAAGTTTTTATTTCTCGTCATTATTTTGCATTTAGTAAA